ATGTTGCAGAGCCGCCCCACGTAGCCCGGCGGGCAGGCACACACAGTGGTCCCGGTGGCCACGATTAGGTGGCAGGTGCCCCCGTTCAAGCACGGGCTGCTCAGGCAGGCTGGTGGAGGGCAGGGAGGCTCTACAGCAAGGCCAAGGCCTGGAGGAGCCCCATGAAGGTGGGGGCAGGGCCGATCCCTCCCAAGCGCCCTCATTGCTGGGTGGCCTCAGGCAAGGCCTTTCCACGCAGGTGAAGATGGAGACACTGTTTGGGGGTCTCAGTGACATGGCTGTCCCCCCCCAACCTCCCCCACCATGGTCCTGGCGTACCTGTGTGGCGGGTGTCTTTGCACTGGGCCTGGCCCCTCACACAGTCACACTGCTCCACGTGGCCCTGGCGCACATGGGCCCAGCGGTCACCCGCCTCCAGGTACTCGTAGCGGGTCTCGTCAAAGCACTTCTCTGGGGTCCGTACAGTGAGCGCCCCTCAGTCACCCGCTGCCCCAACACAGGTCCCCTCCTGCACTCAGGAAGCACTTTCCCACCCAGCTTTGGGCCAACCAACTGCTCTCCCATCTTCCCAGGACCTGCCTGTGCCTGTGGACCCCTGAGGACCCCAAGGCCCCCACTCACCTGTGCTACAGTCTTTGCCTGTGAAGGCCACGGGGCAGGTGCAGTGGTAGGATGCGGGGCCCTGGGTGTTGGAGCAGGAGCCCCCATTGAGGCAGGGGCCAGAGGCACAGGGATCGAGGGCAGCTGCGGACACACGAGGGGCCATGAAGGGCTGGGTGGGAGTCTTTGGGGTCCCTCCATGACCCCTCCCACTTGCTAAAGGCCTTCCTTGGGCCCTCCGCCTACAAACCACCCCCTCTGGGTTCTTCCAGGCGCAGGTCCCTGGGAGGGACTCAGGCCTTGCCTTCCTCCTGGGCAAGTGGCCCCTGGGCTGTGCACTCGGCGCCCTAGGAGCCTGACCCCTACCCACTGTCAGGCCGCACAGTCGTCTCTTGTGTGCCCTGGAACCCGAGTGCTCAGGGCTGCCAACACAGACCACCCCCACAGCCCTCACTCCCTCGGCCCCCTCGCCCGCCTTGTCCGCTGTCCAGGGCTCTCCTGTGTGGCCGCAGGGCCCAGCCTAACCACCAGGGGCCGCCTTCGCCCCAGCAATGGCCACAGCAGCCGTGCAGCCCCCAAGAGGGTAGGGTCCTGCCCAGGAGACGGTCCCTCCACTGCTGTCCCCGGGCTGATGGCTCCCCTGTCCCCACCCACCCCCATGGTTGCAGGGGGCTCAACCCTGCTCCACTCCGAGCGGGACCCTGCACAGTCAGCGCCGTCTCCTTGGGCCCCACCTCCACTCAGCACCTTGACCCCAGCCTGGGGTGCAGGCTGCCCCCACACCCACAACCCTGGCACCCACCTGGGCCCTGGGGAGGTGAGGCAGCCTCCATGCAGTAGCCCCAGGCCCTGTCCCGGTCATAGTTGTGAGTCGTGGCACACCTGGGGGGCGATGCCTGTGGTGACGCGGGGGTCCCAGCCCAGCCCCTGGCGCTCCCCCCACTCGCCCGCCAGGTCTGCTGGGCCCGCCCCACCCCCGCCGGGACCCACCACTTCTTGTGGGCGCTTCCCTCCGAAGTGCAGGCGTGCAGCATGCGGCCACCGTGGCGGAAGGGGAACCTGCAGGCCTGCCCGTCCTCGGTGAGCACTGCCGGGGGGCGGCGGTCAGGGGCTCCGCGGGGCGCCCCCCCCCCCAGCCCCTCCCCAGCGACACCCACACGGCTGCTCCCTCTTCCCAGAGCCCACCTGACCCACCTTGGTCCCCGGGGCCGCTGCTTGAGGGAGCTGCCCTGCGTGGGGACAGGAGCCCCCCACCTCGGGGTCCCACCGCCTCTGCCTCTGGAACACTTGGTGCTGGGGTGTCAGGGGTCACAGAGGTCACAGGGATCCTGGGGACCCCGGGGGTCGCCGTGGCATTAGGGTCTGAGGGCTCCGTGAGGTTCTGCGAGGAGCCAAGAGGGCCGTGAGGGGTCAGGCCCCCCAGGTGAGGAGGTGGAGCCCTGAGCCTCAGTTTCCACGTTGGGGGCCTCAGGTCTGGGAGCAGTGTCCAGGAGGACACTGGACACCCCAAGTCCTCACTGGACCTTGTCCCTGTCCCCCAGCCTGAGCCCACATGGTTAAACAGGGTTGGCTCAGGGTCATAGCCCAAACCAAGGCACCCCGGTCCCTATAGGGTCAAAGCATGGGGGTCAAGTCATGGGGGGCTGGGAGCAGCTGGGAGGCCCTCAGAGGCCCCCCCTCCCCCCACTTCAACAGAGGCCCAGGGAGAGGAGGCAGTCCCCACACCCAGGGACCCCAGACAAGGCTACACAGGGACCTACACCTCCCAGGTGGGGCCCAGCAGGCCAGATCACCCCCAGACCAGACCAGCACCCCCACCTCACCCCGAGAGCCAACTTTCACCACCAGAGCCACCCACACTGGGCCCTGGACCACTCCACACCCCTGCCCTGGGGGACGCTCCCTCTGGCCTCATCCCAGGGACCCAGCGTGGGCACAGAGCCCTCGTTCACACTGCACGGGGGTCAGTGCTCACCCTACCAGCCTGGGGATGGGCCTTGCAAGGCACCAGCAGCAGCAGCAGCAGGAGCAGAGACAGCCTGGGTAGGGGGCAGGGGCTGGGGACCCAGGCCCAGTGCCCCATGGCTCCTCCTGAGCTGGCGCGAGGGGCAGCAGGAGGCGGGAGCAGGGTGGCCAGGGCAGGTGGGGGTCAAGGCCACGTGGAAATGATTAACCCTGGCTGCCTGCATGCCGGGCCCACACTGGGCGGGCCTGGCCCCCTGGAGGAAGTCCCCGCGTCCTTCCGCTACCACACCTGCTGTCCCAGCTCATGCTGTCCCTGCCCAGGGAGCCCAGCTGTCCCACTCTGGCCTCAGCCTGCGCTGGTCCTAGATCGGATGACGTCCTTGGGTCTCAGCTTAGAAGCCTCTTCCAGGAAGTCTTCCAGGGTAACAGGGACAGGTCAGGGCTGGACTCCCAGGCCCAGCCTCTGGTCCCCGCCTGGCCACTACCTGTCGGTGAGCTGCCTTCACAAGAGCCACTGCAGGAACTAAACCCTTAAGTGGGTCTCTGCTTGGCAGACAGTGGCTCGTGGAACTGAGGTGGAGATAGCATTGCCCCCTCCACAGGTGGCTGCACGAGGGCTCCTGTGGGGGTCGTGCTGCCTCTTCTCAGTGGCTCCACAGCCAGAGAGGAGCTGCAGACAGCGAGCCCGGATGGGGACCTTCCATGGTCTGTCCTAACTCTGGGGTGCTTTTGGCATCCCATATTCCCTCCCTCTGCTCTCCTGGATGGGCTCGGACACCTCTTCCAGGGAGCCTTCCCAACCCTTAGGCTCCCCTATCGCAGCCAGGATGACCTGAGCTGTCACCCTCCTGGTCCGGGTCTGCCCTCCCCAGGGCAGCCTGAGTCCTGGGTCACACACTGTCTCTGGGTATCTCTCTCTGGGCCCCAGCACAGGCCTGGGCCAGGCATCTGGGGGCCTGGGATAGGGGCACCTCCCGTGGACAGAGCTGTAGGAGTCCCCTGCACCCTCTGGAATGCACGGCTTGGGGCTGCGGGCAGAGCTGCCTCAGGAGCCTCCTGTGATTTCTGAGCAGCTGCCAGTCTGCCCCCTGTCCCCGCTCACTCGGCTGCCCGCACAGGGGTGGCAGGGGGGCCGACCCTCCACTGTGGCCTGGGGGTCAGCTGGTGCCAAAGCCGCCTCACTGTGTACCCCAAGCCCACTCTCACTGGGCCCCCATTTCCCATCTGTGTAGAGAAGACAGAGTGGGCACTGAGTGAGCACCGACCTTGGCACAGCACGTGCTGGGACTATAGCAGGTGCAGGGGGACAGCGGGTGCTGGGGGGGGACGGCGGGTGCTGGGCCCGTCTTCAATTCTGATACCTCCCTGGGCCCCTGCCAGGGTGGCTCTCTCTGGGGTCCCCCCTCTGGTCTCGTCCAGAGCCGCCCCCGAGGCCATGCCGTGTGCTCTCAGATCTCCAGGATGCTGCTCCTGGACGCACCTGTCGTGACGGCCCCACCTCTAGGCATGGGTGCAGGGTGGGCTCCTCAGCGCAGCCTTGGGGGTTCCACTGAGGAAACCTGGCCGATGGCGCTGTCTCTGTCTGATTCAGGCCAACGTGACTGTGGACCCCCCGCCCTGGCCTGGCTGTGCTGCCACTTCCTTCCCGCCCTGGCCGTGGCCACCCTGGGACTTGTCACTGTGTCAGCAGACTCGCTCACGTGCAGGGCTTTTACACATGCCCGACACTCTTGCCCAGCCCCCTCTGCACTCAGGTTTCAGTTCGGATGGTCCCTCCCCAGAGCAGCCCTCCCAGAGCACCCCTCTAAATGAGGCCAAGGGCAGGGCCAGGGCACGGTGGCCAGAAGACCCTGTGTCCACCTGTAGGGAACGATGTGAGGTGGACAAGCGGAAGCTGACTTGGCAGGGCCCACTCCCTGCTGCCCTCGGGGTTGGCTGGAGCCCCACTCGGTCGCCTCCCTGTCCTCTGCCCATCTGAGGGTGGGAGGAGGGTTCTGACCCCCAGGCGCCCGGGAACCCAGCTCCCCTTCCTCACCGTCGCCTTGACCTCTCCACCAAGTGCCGCCTTCTCCTGGGCCCTCTCTCTAGCACCTGGAGGGATCTCCCGTGTGTGTTCATGGTGTCCCACAGGAACAGGGACTCCCCGAAGATGGGACCTGTCCCTGGCACCCAGCACGAGGCTGACACTTGGTGGGTCCTCAAAAACACTTTATTGAGGGCCGGCTCAGTGGCGCACTGGAGAAGTGCGCCACTTGAGAGCGCGGCGGCGCTCCCACCGAGGGTTCGGATCCCATGTGGAGACCGGTTCCCGCTCACTGGCTGAGCGCGGTGCAGGCGCAACACCGAGGGTTGCGATCCCATTGCCGGTACCCGGTATGGGCGCGACACCGAGGGTTGCGATCCCGTTACCGGTCAGTAAAAAAGAGACAAAAAGGAAAAAAAAAAAAAAAACACTTTATTGAGCAAAGGCCGAGTGCCGAGTGGCAGCCCAGGGCTGGGCCGGGAGCCCGGGGCCAACCGCAGGGCCTCAGGCCAGTCCCTCCAATTTGTCTGTCCCCCCACCCTCTCCTGGGGGTGTGGCAGCTGAGGTGGGCCCTCCAGGGCCCTGAAGGACACTTCCCTTGAGAGCAACGTGGGCTGCCCCAGGAGATCACGGGCCTTGACACGTGTCTGCAAGAGATAGCAGCTTGGACACGGGGTCAGGAGGGTGGCTTCAGACGAAGGTGGCATGGTGTGTGCTGGCCTTGGGCTTGGCAGGCTTGCCTGGAACAGGGCTCAGGCTGGGGAGGCCTGACAGGGGGGGCCCACCAGCCCTCAACCTGCTGGGGCCCAACCGTGCCCCCAGGACGCTGCCACGAGGCCCCAGCTCCAAGCCAGCGACGAGATCCACGTCGATGATGCTGCTGGCCAGGAGGCCTCGGCTGCCGCGGGCCCCACCTCCTGCCACAGGGAGAAGAGAGAGGCTGTCACCGTCTGCCCAGTGCTGGGCTTCGCTTCTGGGACCCCCCCCCCCGCTGGCCCTCACACGGCCCTTGGCTGGGGAGGGCTTTCTGAAATATCCCAAACCCACTCTGGAGGCAGCCAACCTCCAGCCTTGGAGCCTGGTCCTCAGACGGCCACCTCTGGCTAAGCAAGCCACCTGCATCTGGGGCTCTTCAGTGACAGCGTGGGCAGCATGGGGGGGGCCATGCCCTGAGTCATGAGAAGCTGGTCCAGGGGCCAAGTGGGGGCCCGGGGTGCTGGGTGGTGAGCCCTGACAGCCCCTGCCCTCGGGCCACTCATGTCAGGGTCACCGGGGCCGTGGTGCATCACTGTCACGCACACACACGGCCCTCCTCCAAGTATGCGCCAGGCCACCATCATGTACCACCCCCTCAGCACCGGGGCTCCCCGCCCAGCACCCACCAGGGGCGCTTGTCCTGTTCTCACTCCCAGCCTTTACACATGCTGTCCCCTCTGCCCACGACGCCCTTCCCAGCCTTGCTCCTGCCACCTCCTCCTCTTCCCAGGTGACATGTGGACACCCCTCCCCCACTGGACTGGGCTCCCAATAGCCCTGATGGAGCTGTGAGTGGGGAGGGGTTGGGTGTGTCCAGCACAGGGTTTATGATGCGGAAACAAGGACGTGGTGTCCCATCCAGGTCCCTCTGTCCCAGGTGGGGGCTGTGGTGGCAGAGGAAATGGAGGGAGAGGCAAGGGCTGGGGTCCCAGGCCCCTAGAGGGCTCCAGGACAATGCACTGGGACCCAGCCAGCCTCTGGAAAGCAGAGGGGGGGGGGGCCGTGTCCACAAGAACCACCCCCCTCCCCAGCACCCCACACCCCTCCTTCCCCCCACTGAGCTCAGGAACAGCCCCAGTCCCTCCTGGAGGGGCCATGGCACCACTCCCCTCAGGCCCAGGGGCCCAGGTTGAGTTGGGCTCGGGACACACACTGGGGTGGGGTGGCTCCAGGCTGGGCTGGACCCTCAGGACAAGGCCTCCCCGTGAGGACGAGCCGCCTCCACCCACAGACCTCAGTCCCGCACTCAGACGCCGCTGCTCCCCCTATCCTGGCCTCTTGGCCGTCGCCTGCCTGGGGCCATGTCCTCACCCTCACACACTCAGGGTGCCCCCAGGCTCGTGGTGTCAACAGCACCTCCAGCCATGCGCTCTCCACTCCACCCACGGTCCCCACCCCCCTTGCTGAGGCCCTTCCTCTGGGCTGCTCGGTGACATTGGCCCCACCTCTGACTCCAATCCCCACTCAACTCCTGGAGTTCCCAGATGCCCAAAAGTGCCCTGGAAGCTTCTAGATCCTTTGCCAGGGTGGAGTCTCCATGCCAGCACAGGGCCTCCGGCAGGTGCTCATGATTCTATCCGGGGTCCGCCTCAGCTGCCGCGGAGCCCCCTGACCACCCGGGGCCCAGGCAAGCCTTCTCCCCCATGGCTCTGTCTCCCATCTGTCACATGGAGGTGACAGCACTGACCAGAGGAGTGGGGACTAGGGGGAGATTTGTCACACATGCCATGGCCCTGAAGTCCCCCACCCCACCTCAGCCTCAAGCTTCAGAAGCTGCTTCCACAAGGCATCAAGGAGCAAGTCCCAGCCTGTGGGAGACGTGGGGCGACCCGCCGGGCACCCGGCCCACGCTGGCGGGCAGGCCGAGGTGGCAGGAGGAGGCGCTCAGCCCAGCCCCGTGACGTGTCGGCGCCAGGGCACCCGCCAGCACATGGCAAGGCCCAGAGGGGTGCTGCCGGGCCACAGCATGCTATCTGGGCACATCTGGCAGAGATGCCACCCAAGCTGTCACTGGGTCCACATAGAACGGCCGACACTAGAAGCTTCTCCCAGTTAGTCTTCTAGTCATGCAGCAAACATTCTGCTAGGGCCGCCTGGAGTCCGGCCCTGCCCCCACAGGGTGGCCAGGGGGCAGCTCCACCAGTCCCCTTCTTGTCACCAGGTCCCCATGGCTCCAAATGCCAGGCTGCAGGGCCAGGAGGTGATGAGGTGTGGGGAGAGGCAGGAGTTTGCCCCCGATCATGGGTCACCTTCGTGGGCATTGACCTGGAGCTTTCATTTGGTTCTGGGAGCCCCGCTGTCCCTGGCCAGCCCCTCTGTTCCCCGGGCAGCCCAGTGTCTCAGGATGGGGTGGGTCACCTGCTTCTGGGGAAGGGCCAAGGATGTGCACGTCATCCTTCCTGCCCGCCCAGCCCAGACTCGCTCTCCTGAGCACCGTGACTCAGTGGCATGGCCTGCGTGCCAGGGCCTGCCTGGCCTTTGAGGCTCCCTCAGCGCTCCCCAGGCAGGGCCTGTGCCCCGTGGAGCTCCCGCTGTCTCCGTAGGGCCCCGCCGCCTGGTCTTGCTCCTGGTGCCAGCTCACTCAGGCCCCAGAGCCCCAGACACAGGCTGCATGCACCAGGATCTCGGCTCCTGCCCCACGGTGACCAGTCCTACGCTGTCAGGCCCTCCTTGCTGGAGCCTCTACCAGGATCCAAACCATGCGAGCCCCTTGGCAGGAGCCTGCAACCCTCCCTCTGCCTGCGGCCAGCCCTCGCCACTGCCCTCGCCCCGTAGGACCCCTTCACTCACCCGCTACCGTTCCCAGCACCAGCCTCTGCCGTCTGCTCTGGGCTGGGCCTGGGCCAGCAGAGCTCAAGCCCCCCACCCCCTGCCCTGGACCTCAAGGCTCCACGTCCTGGGAAAGCCACTGTCGAGTCAGGGCCCTCGTCGTGGGGATGGCAGGAGGACTGAGCCCAGGGCCACACTGGCTGGGCAGGGCCGCGGGGAACAGGGCTGACCCCCTCCGTCATCTCCCCAGCTCCCCTCCGTGTCCAGCCCCACCTGCCTGCCCCTCGGCCCTTCCTGCCCCGAGGAGGACCCTCTCTGTCCTCCAAAGCTTGGCTTCCACCTCTGAGCCTTTCCCGAGGCCTGGTCCTGCCACCTCCCCTGCAAAGCCTCCCCAGTACCTCTCAAGCTCAAGGGCATGAGGAGATTGAGAAAACGCAGAGTGCAGGGCAGCGGAGGGGACACGGGCCAGCCAGGGACCCTGCCGTCTGCCACTGGCCTCCGGCCGCCCCAGGCCTCCCTACTGCAGCCTTCTCTGCAGGTATCCCCGAGGCCCGCGAGCACCTGCTGACGGGGAGCCCCCGACAAAGCTCTGGTTCCGGCTCTGACTCCCAAGGTCGCCCCCTCCACGCAGGTCCCCAGCCCGGGACCATGGTTGTCTGTGATGGGGTGGCGCCAGATTAAGGTTCCTCATTCAGCAAATATTTACCAGGTGTCGGGACTGTGGCAGCTCAAAAACATGCACACCCCGCAGGCACCCAGTGTGGTGCACGGGGAGCCAGGGACTCAAGAGGCTTGGGGCTGCGGAGGCCAGGGAGAGGGGATGCGGGGGGGCCACCAGCAGGCCTGGGCTTCCACTCTGAGATGGGCTGCAGGCGAGGTGGGCAGCTGAGGGTGGGCAGCTGAGGTCGGGCGTGTGGTGGGAGCAGCTGGAAGATAGAGTTGTCACAACCTGGGCTGGGGCCTGGAAGCAGGGCTTGGGCAGGTGCAGGGCCCCTGGCATCAGCAGGACATGGTGCTCACGGTGGAGGTCCACTTGGCTCTAGGACCCACTCTGGGGAGAAGGGGCTCGAGAGGCCCCAGGGGCTATGTCCCCGAGAAAGCCAGGATCCCCCGCCCCCCACATCATCAGAGGAGGGAGTCTGAGCTGCATTTGTGCCTGAGAAGGGCTGGGCTTTCTGCCCCCAGAAGGTGCCACCTGTAGGTGCCCACTGTCTCTCCTCATAGACTTGAGGGGCACTCGGGGCTGCACAAGACCTGCCGAGGAGGCCTCATCAGTGGGTGTTGTTCTGGCAGAGCTGGGGCCAGGCAGGGCTGTGTCCTCACCTGGGCCTCAGCAGGTGCTATGCCATGGAAGTGCCAGGATCCAGGCCAGCCCAGTGCAGACAGGCTCCTGGGACTCCTGCCACACGAGGGCAGTGGTCTGGCTCTCTTCACCCCCAGGAGGAGGGGCATGGCCCCTGAAACCACGTTCCAAGGCCACCCAGTGGGTGTGCATGGGGAGCTGGTGGGAGGCCCAGCTGTGGGCTCTGACTGGACGTGCCTTTTGGGGACCCTGGCAGCTGTGACACTGGGGCATGAGGCTTCTGGCTTGGGCGACCCCTGCCCCCCATCCAGTGAGCTGTCCCCATGGACCCCAGCCCTTAGACGGCTGTGTGAGGACCCTTCCCCGAGAGGTGCGTTCCTTGCCCAGGCTGGCAGCTCCAGAGCCTGCGTCCTCTTGGGGGCCTCCTGTGGGGCTACAGCTGTCGGCTGAGGAAGGCAGGGAGCTCAGCCTCTCCTTGGCCGGCACGCCGGCTCCGGTGGCAGTGCAGCTGGGCAGCCATGAGCCATGCATGGAGATGGTGAGGGCAGGCCAGGCGCTGGGCTGGAGAGGAGGGCCAGGGCAGCTGCCTTTCCGTCGTTAGGGGAGGAGGGCGGCTAGAGAGCCAGGCTGCAGGTGGCCGACCCTGTCTCAGCACTGGCTGTGGACCGCGCGCTCGCCACAAATTCAGTTCCACAAATCCATTTTCTTCACTAGGAGAAAGGTGTCCTTTAGGGCACAGTTACCACTCCCTCCCCATGTGTGGAAATCCACTTTTTGCAGGCCCAGGAGAGCCAGGCAATCTCTGCCCTGGCCTCTGTTGGAAACCACAGAGGTGAGGGTCAGGATGAGACAGGAAGTGCTATCAAAACAGCCAGAGGGTGCGTCTTGAGATCCAGGCCATTCAAGGAGCACTTTGCATTGGAAAGCTCGGTTCTGGGTCCACAGGTCCTTGGACAACCTCTCCTTGGTACAAACAAGGACGAAAAACAAGGCACTCCTGCTTCAGTCCAGGGCTTACAATGACGCTCCAGGCAGGGTTTCGCCACCGAGGATGGCCACCTGGCCTTTCCCACACATGTACGTCTGCACAGACACAGGCCACATGCACACCACCTCGGCGCCTGGACTCTCACAAGAGGCTCCAATGCTGCACTCATTTGACATCTCTGCTTAACGTGTCAGAAACACCGAGGCCCGGAAGGACATGCCTGGCTGCTTGGCAGCAGGTGGTCACTCAGGCTCTGAAGGACCAGACTCCCCAGCCCCGGTGGCTGACTCACAGGTGGGCTGCCCGGCCGTGGGAGCTGAAGTGGGAGGCAGGCGGTCGAGCGCAGCTCTCAGGGCCCCCCACTTTGGGGCATGCTGCTGGCCACCCCCATGCTGGCTGTGGCTGGGGGACAAGCCTGGCTGTACTCACACATTCTATTTCTCACCCTGGTCAGGGGGTCCACGGTGGCCACCGTGTCACTAAGAAATACGTCATGGCAACAGTCGGGATCTGTGAGAGTAACTGGATAAAATCTGAACTTCCAGACCAGAGAAGTGCGTGCTGGTGTTCAGTGCAGGCACACTGTGGCCAGGGGGTGTGGAAGACACCCGTCGGCCAAGGGACCACCATGCACAGGCAACCGAGACAGGCTTATGCAACATGGAATCTCCAATCTAGAGAATCCCTGCTGGAGCCTAACTATGGGTTTTCAGAAAGTGGGCTGCACAGAGGAATTTCCATTCTGAGGCCCTCCCAGCAGATTGGGGCTATCACCTCCAGGAGGACGGGGCAGGTCAATGGCACCTGCAGCTGTCCAGAGACGCCAGGGACACACACCTTTGGCCAAAGCCCCTACTACCTTCCCCCTGCCAGGACAGAGCCTGAGCACCAAGGGTTCAGGGTTCCCCTCTCCCTGGGGTTTGGGGAGCTGGTGGGGCCCTGGAACTGGTCCTGGCCAGTGGCAGTAAGGAGCAGCCTGCCAGGGTGCAGGGAGGACTTGCTTCCTACAAGGCTGATGCCACAGCAGAGGCCACTTGGCCAGGCCCTTTTTGGTGGGGAAACTGAGTCTCACATGTGTAAACCACACTAGTCCTCCCAGGGCAGCCGATGTGCCCCCCGACCTGACAGGCCACACATGTGATAGGCAGAGCCAGCACCAGCAGCCGAGAGCTGGCGGGGCCGGGGTGCAGGCTCACCAGCGAGCCCGGCCAGCTGACCTCGGCTTCAGCCAGGTCTTCTGTCCTGAGCACCCCGAGGAAGGAGAGCGCCCACTGGGCTGCCTCAGACGGAGGTGCACCCCCATCTCTGTCCCCAGGCGAGCCGGTGAGCCCTCTCCCAGTGGAACATCTGTGACTGCCCTGGTATGTAACTGTGTTTGGCGGGTGTATACAAGGTGCTCTAGGATTTTGTTGAGTGAATGATATATTTTTTAAAAGCCAGTATATTAACATAAACCCATTTAATTTCCTAAAGATGTGTATTATTTTCTCTAGATTAAAATACACCCATGAGTATAGTTTTCTAAAGCGGAAACAAATTTTTAAATGAAAAAGAAAAGAGTTTTAAACCAGTCAGTGATGAGATTTAGAGTTTATTACCCTTGGAAGAACAGACTTAAAACACAGGTGGAAAGTACACACAGGTATCTACAGAAAAGAGCAGAAAGGGAGGTTGAGGCCGCGGTGGGAGCCCGCACGGCCCGCGCATGCGTGCAGATGCTGCGGCACCTCACTGGGAAGGGCACAGGGAGCCCAGCCCAGCCCACGTGTGCCCTCCACAGTGCCCAGCAATGTACAGGAATATAGAATGTAGTGGAGCAATGCCATCCGTGCCCCGCAACCAGGTCCAAGCTACAGGCCCAACAAGACCTGATCTTGCAGCGGGACTCTGAGCAAAGAGGGGCGTTCTCGTCCCCCCAGTGGCAGATCACAACTGGGGCCCACATGCCGCTGGGTGAGCTCTGTGTGACACACACCAACAGGGTCCTGGAAACACCTTCCCCATGGCTGCTGCTGGGGAGACTCGCTTCAGTGTCTAACACCTGTGTCTCAAGGGAAGGTTACTGCCGCCAGGCCCCACTATCCACATTCACACACAGGAAATGTCACGCTGCACCTGAGAGCCACCTGAGACACATGCGCAGTCAGGGACAGCACTGAAGTGGCTTTCACGACATGGTCCTAACACCCTCCTGCAGCAGAACCCTGGCCTTCTGCTACAGGTCACAGAGCCTTTCTTGCTCCAAAAACTATTTTTTTTTAGTCTTGAGACTAAAACACAGAAGGTGCTAGCTATCCAGGTTTTCAGAACCTGCCAGGCCTTGCTCGGTGGCATTAGGAATGTGGGGGGCAGAGCTGCTCCCTCATCAGCCCTGTGAGAGCACACGGCGCCAGTGCACCTGCTCTGGGCCCTCAGTGACCCATCCTGGCAAAGCTGACCTTGGCTGCCACCCGAGCCCCTCCTTTCAGAAAAGGCAGAGGAAACCACAACACAGTACTGGGGAGGAGAATCCCATGGAAGTGCCTCGTTGAACGAGTGGTGGCCTGAGGCAGCTCAGATGAAGCTGCTCTTATCTATTAAAAACCACGTGGACCGCTGAGGGGCAGCAGAGCTGGATGGAGCCAAAGGTGTGAGGGTCAGAATTGGGAGGTACCTGGTCTCAGAGGTCCTGGTGTGTCCTGGGGGCTGGAGTGTGGCGGCAGCAGTGTGCTGTTGGGGCTGCTGATGTCCCCCTCCCCCACCAGGGTCAGGTCGGCCACATGCTCCTCCTCCACAGTCTGGACGCCCTCAGCCTCTGCTGCCCACGGCTGCCTCCTCCAGACCTGCGCGGCACCCTCCTGCGTGGAGGGGGCAGGGGGCGAGGGGGCGTGGAAGGGCCCACTGGGAGGTTCCTGCCCGGGCGGGGCCATCCCGGGAGGGCTGTGGGCTGAGCCAGGGCTGGTGGCCGAGCCAGGGCTGGTGGCCGAGCTGTCACTGCAGTCCTGGGCTGGCTCCCACATCTCACTCGTGGCGATTCTCCCCCTACCTCCCACGGCTGCAGCCGGGGTGGCGAGGGCGTGTTCTGTGGGACCAGGAGGCAAGCGAAGAAACTCCGGCAGCACCAGGTCTTCCTTCCTCAGCAGCCCACGCTGGTCGTCTGCTCTGTTGCTCTGAGCTTTGGAAATGAGCTCAAAAAACTCTAGTGGAAGAAAACCCACATCGATCATGTATTAGAGTCAAACGGATGCACACCACAGCAGAAAATTCTATCCGGAGAGCTCCCATCACAGGCTGTCCTACTCCCTTGCACTGACGGTGGCAGGCCAAGGAGGGGCGGCTTTACTCTATGCTGTCTTCAGCCACAGAACAACTGTTCTCAGGAGCCTGCAATAGCTGGCTACCTCCCTGAAAGTTAAAGCGTGTGAGGTACACACTGGGAAAAACGACGCCCTGGAGCCAGCACGGCGGGGCACCGACGGCATTCCAGGAGGGCGCTGGCCTGTGCTTTGGCCCGGTTTTTACTTTTAACACCCAGGGCCCTTTTATACTTGAGTCTGGCTCCCCTATTAGGACCAGGTCTGGGGCACGACAGGCCGGGAGTCCCAGCTGCACTGCCTCTTGGGGACGCCACCTCTCAGGCCTGTGTGAGAGGAGGCAGCGTAAGGCCTCGCTCCCACCTGAAGCGCCACACCTCTCGGGGAAGGACAGGGTCCCCTGGGGCTGCCGCCTGCCCAGCACCTGCTTCTTCCAGGACTCCTTCAGAATGCTTTTCTTACCCGTGCTGGGTTTTTTATCTAACTCAAGAAGATCATTTAAAGTAGATGTGCCTAAAACTGAGATTTCTGTAGTATTTAAATTATACTCTGAGTTTTAAAACAACTACAAGGAATCCAAAATCTCAGATTTTAATGATTCTCAGAAACACACAAGCTTCAAAGAAGGGGTGTGTTTCACATCTGCTCGGGGCCATCAAGGGCTGCAGGTGGCGTGTACTGTGGTTTTACTGTGAGGTGGACTCCACGGGGAGCTGGGCCAGGCCGGCAACTAGCCAGCACTGCCTGGACTAAAGTTCAGGTCACAGTGACAGCTGTTTGTTTGACTCTGCTGTCAAGGCTTCTCTTTGTTAGAAGCTTTTGGAAGAAAACGAAGTTTCACTAAAGGGCTCGCCTCTCCCTCTATCTCCTGGGCATGTCTTTCAGGCTGACCTTCGTCCGGGCCTTCCATGACCAACAAGGCCCCATGGCCCTCGCCTGGCCCCAGCTCTGCCTGAGGAGGACCCTCAGGCCTGCGGACTCTTCAACACTAACTGTGACTCCACCAAGCTGGGGACCCTGACTGACGACAGGCGGTGGGCCAGGAGAGGACAGGCTGAAGCTGCAGGACCTGAGGCACCTCAGCAGACAGGGCTGCTGTCTCGGGGGCTCCCTGACTCCCCAGGAGGCCCATTGCTCAGCCTGAAAACTGGGGGTTGCAGAGGTGATACCAGCAGCCCACAGACTGACCAGGGAGGAGCACGTTCTTGGCGTGACAGCAACTGAGGTCACCCGGATGTCATTAGGTCACAGTAGATTTTAATGATGGTGCTGGAAACTGACAGTGCATTTACTAAAAAGTGTGGAAGTTTTAAAAAGTACACATACCCTCTGCTTCGTCCAAATTAATTCTCTGATATTTTTTTTTCCCAATCTTTGCAATAGATTCTTCTCTCTTTGAAAGCCGGGGATCCCTAGCATTTTTTCCATTTTCTCCTCTTATTTTAATAGAATTAGACTTGCCTAGTGTTCTTTCCTCTCCCTGCATTGGAAGGAAAGTCAAAGTCTACTTTCGTTTCAACACAGGACAGTACACAATTCATCAGGTGTAGACAGACAGGCTCTATGAAACACAGATTGCACTGACATAGAATTCACATGCACTGCAGAAACGTCAACCACAACGATGAAGATTACAAACAAGAGCAGCATTCAAGGCACAACCGCCCCCACCACAGGAGGGAAGAAAGCCGAGAGCTGGCCGTTCACAGCTAGGTGGGGGCCGGACGCCAGAGGGACCTGAGGAGAAACCCCCAAAGGTACGTGGGGGCCCAGGGCCAGGGTGCCATGGCAGAGCAGGCGGCGCTGCACCGAGCGGAGCAGGGGGCCGAGCGGGCGAGGCGTGAGGGGATTACCGTGGCCGAGTGACTTCTGGAGCTAGAGCTTACAGCTGTGCTCTGCCTCACCGGTGCCCCTTTCTGTTTATCTGTGGATATCAAACACAGTGAGATGAGCTTTATCATCACGGTGCACCACAAATCCATCTGAGCGGGTGAGCAGAATCTGTTTCTTGTCTTGAGAGCAAAGCTGCAGAGAAGCCAAAAGGTGCTGCTACCCGACACTGACCCATGCCGGGTAATGGAGGCGCGGCCCCTGCCCAGTGCAGACCCAAGGCCCCTGCTCCCGCCGCTGCCCTTTGGGGCAGGACATGCCACTGTGTGACGGCGATGCTAGCTAGGCCCAGCGGTTTCTCCGAAAATTTGACTGGGGACTTTTGGAAGAGTGGTGTTGAAAGGCTCATGCCATATGCTAGTTGGCATGAATGTTTTTTAGGAAGCAGAGCAGTCTCACGTTTATTACATGTTTTCAAATCCGGCCTTTGCCCCCCGTCAGGGCCTCCGCAGCACTAACAGGCTAGGACCACCTCTCCACGACTAGAGGGTGGCAATCGTGCTGCACACCCTGGCCCTCCAAAAGGCTCGTGCACAAACAGCCACCGGGTGGAAGCTCAGCGGACCTGACCCTGCGGGCCGCCCTGCTTGGGCCGCACACGCTCAGCCTGCCTGGCTCCCAGCCTGGGGTGACAGCGTGGCCTTCCCTAGAGCTGAGGGAGGGTGGAAGGAGGGGTCTCCCCTCTGTGAGGAAGCGGGGATGGGAAGCGGGGACTGGAACCCCAAGGGCCACAGCAGTGCCTTCTGCCTGACCACCACGCTTTGTGCCATGTGCCTCGGAACCAGCCCTCAGAAACCATCTGGGCTGAAACCCTCCTGGGCCGAAGTGCCGAAAAGAACAAGGACCAGCACTGCCTGAAGTAGCTCCTTATGAAGGAGAAGGATCTTCTCCACCAGGTTAGCCACAGGTGAGTTTCCAGAAAGCTCTCTCCAGGGGACATACTTCCTACTGTCCCTGCACCTGGACAGTCTTCAGGGAGACACTGCTGCCAGCCCACAGTGGCAGCTAAAACAGGACCTATGCCCCCTGCTCTGAATAGCCCTTCCACACGGGTTCTGAAGCAAGTGCCCTGGAGCACAGCTCGGCGTGCACCAGCCCAGTGCAAGGCTCCAAGCTGTGCGGACCCCAGCTTCCCAGGGCAGGACTGTGGCAACCGAGGCCCGTGGGGGCAATAGCTCTGTAACCCACCAGACTCGCCACACGCAATGAGACACAAAACAGGTCCATTGACTTGAGTCCACAGCCACAGCTCCTTCTGGGCGGAGCACAGTCAGCCGACCGTCTTCACCTCCTGTTTTGTGCCCAGAGGGAAGGGCACCAGATCAGGACACTGGACAAAGGACCAGCAGGCCCAGACTGGGCTGCCATGGGCCCTTGGGGTCCCTGTTTCCCTATTGTTGGGTGATGCGAAGGCCTCCCAAGAAGAGGGCACTTTCGAGCACTTTCTAGTTAAAATGCTCTGACACGTGGGCACATGAGAGCCTCCGGGCAATCCTGGAAGTGGCTGGGCCAGGGACCATCACCCCTTTTTACAGCTGAGCCAACACTATGGGAGGTCAAGGTCCTTATTCTGCCAGTCCTGGTTCCTCCTCCACACGGAGGGCTGGACTGGTCTTAGCCCCTAGACACCCAGTTTGAGAAACACTGCATTAAGGGTCAAACTCTGCCATGCAGGGGTGACCAGCCCCAGTGAGGCCCCAACCCCAGTGGAGGCCATTTGTCTGTCAGTTACAAGACAGCAGGTGGTCAATACCAGGCTGCAGGGCTCGGAGGCTGGAGGACCAGGGTGACATGCCAGTCACGCTCACCTTTTCCTCTGGAAGGGTCCTTCTCCTCCAAGATGACCCGCTGTCCATCCAGACTGGATATAGGGGCACCAAGGTCCAGGGGCTCCTTCTCTCCACTCTAGAGGCAGAGACAGTACACTGAATAATTTACCAAGATTGGCACTTTCTGGGACAGTTACGTGTGATCCAGCCACCGAGAGCAAGACTGTTCAGGGCTTGACAGAATCACACACCAGCAGGCCCTGGGGTCAGAGCTGTCCAGCCAATGCACGTGGGTCCCACACAAAGGGCCTGGGGCCTGGCCAGATTCCTGACGTGGAGGAATAGGCATTCCAGGCCTGTGGCATGCCGGCACCTAAAGATCTGCAAGGGCAGCTCTCTCTGCTTGCCTACTCTGTGCAGAATCAAAGACCCGGGGCAGAACAGCACTGGGTAAATACAGCACTGAAAACACCATAACCCTCAAATTTAATGTCAAATAGGTGTAAAAATACTCAGAGTAATTTAAGTTGGCATAAAGTTCTCAACGTTGCTCACGACTGGGATAATGGTTTACCTAAAAATCCTTCTGCTGACCCTCGAACGCTGTTAGGTGACTATTGAGAGCAAAATGTTATTTGTAAATAAGGAAGCAAGGAGAGAATTTTAGGAACAGGTGCAAGATCCAAACGAAGTATCGTTAGCTACAGAACCAGAGCTCCTGCTCTGGGGAAGCTCTCTTCTCCTTTGGTACACAATCTTGCTATTCATGGACCTCAATCACAGTTCAAAACAAGAAATGTGAACTTGTAGTTTAGCATTTTAAATTCCCTGTCAGTCAGGAGAACAGAAATGACCTCATGCCAGACCTGGCGTGACCACAGGCTCCTGCAGCAGGCAGGGCAGGGCCAGGCTGGGGCACGCTGGCAGCTGGGAGCCACAGTAGAGCCTGCTGAGCAGCAGGAGCACGGCTACCTGCTGGCTGAAGCCGTGGGCGACCCACTACCAGGGTCCGCATCACTCATGACATTCCTGGATGTTGGTGGGTCCACAAAACTCACTGAAGAGGGTTGCAGAAGAGTCCAAGAAAAAGCCAGCCCTCCCATACTGCAAGTCCCACAACAACCCCATGGGCACACGACCAGGACTAGCCCTTCTACAGAAAGGGACACTTAGGCAAGGAGGGGCGGAGCAATTGCTCAGGGTCTCAGTAGAGCAGGAGTAGAGGGCTCATCTGGAGGCCAGCCAGGCCTGTCCCCACCTGGCACTTTTCTGGACTCTAGGATGAACCCTGCTGGGAGGGGGCAGTCGGGGGGGACAGGAGGCTCCAGGCCCCTCAGAGCTGGTGCCATAAATAACTTAGTAGTCTCTTGTTCACCTCAAAGCCCTCGGACGTTCTGACATCGGTCTCAGAGGAAATTAAAACCCTAAAAATACCTGAAGCCCAAGCTCCAGTGACGTTGATAAGGAACGGAGGAGAACGCAAGGCCAGAGCTGCCCTGAAACCCGGGCCCCAGGCTGAGCACAGAGCACAGCACGGGTCGCTTGCCAGGCCACAAATGCCCTCCGGGGACAGGCATAGAGAAAGGACAGGAGACCACCCAGCCCACGCCCTCTGACCTTCTGCCTCAAACACACTTTTCTTCCGAACCTTCATTCACATAGTAATGGAGGGCACCGGTCAAACATGCCAGATTTAATTTGTAAATCCCTGAGTGCCGATGAGAATTAGGAAATTTACCAGAGATAATGCACCTTAGCCATCAGCACAGCGCGGGCAGGTGTGTACTGAGGGGCCACGGCACAGCACGGGAAGGGTATACTTAAGGGTCACAGCACAGCACGGGGAGGTGTGTACTGAGGGGTCAGGGCACAGCACGGGAAGGCGTATACTTAAGGGTCACAGCACAGCACGGGGAGGTGTGTACTGAGGGGTCAGGGCACAGCACGGGAAGGCGTATACTTAAGGGTCACAGCACAGCACAGGCAGGTGTGTGCTGAGGGGCCACGGAACAGCACGGGCAGGCGTGTACTGAGGGGTCACAGCATGGGCAGGTGTGTACTGAGGGGTCAGGGCACAGCACGGGAAGGCGTATACTTAAGGGTCACAGCACAGCACGGGGAGGTGTGTACTGAGGGGTCAGGGCACAGCACGGGAAGGCGTATACTTAAGGGTCACAGCTCAGCACGGGCAGGCGTGTACTGAGGGGTCACAGCATGGGCAGGGTTGTACTGAGGGGTAGGGCACAGCACGGGCAGGCGTGTACTGAGGGGTCATGGCACGGGCAGGGTTGTACTGAGGGGTCAGGGCACAGCACGGGAAGGGGTATACTTAAGGGTCACAGCACAGCATGGGCAGGCGTGTACTGAGGGGTCATGGCACGGGCAGGTGTGTACTGAGGGGTCATGGCACGGGCAGGTGTGTACTGAGGGGCCACGGCACAGCACGGGAAGGCGTGTACTTAAGGGTCACAGCACAGCACAGGCAGGCGTGTACTGAGGGATCATGGCACGGGCAGGGTTGTACTGAGGGGTCAGGGCACAGCACGGGAAGGGGTATACTTAAGGGTCACAGCACAGCACGGGCAGGCGTGTACTGAGGGGTCATGGCACGGGCAGGGTTGTACTGAGGGGTCAGGGCACAGCACAGGAAGGCGTATACTTAAGGGTCACAGCAGAGCACGGGCAGGCGTGTGCTGAGGGGCCACGGCACAGCACGGGCAGGCGTGTACTGAGGGGCCATGGCACAGCACGGGCAGGCGTGTACTGAGGGGTCACAGCACCGAGCAGGCAGGCGTGCAGTTAGATAGCCATCAGCTCTGTGTTGTCTGATCAGAGTTGCAAATGGGGGGGACAGTTCAGAGTTTGTTTGTTTCTCCTTTTGTTTTTTCTGGAGAAAAACCATGTCACATGTTAATCCTTTTTCAAATGACCAGGTACAACTGAAGAGTGATCACTTCCCCTCAAGAGAAGGAGAAGACGGAACCCAAAGGCCACGTCCTCTGACCTAGGGAGGAACACAGGGCGAGGGTGAGCCCCAGCTCATTCCTGGAGAACACGGAGGCCACCAAGAGGAGCCGCCTGTGACAGGCTGCTTCCTGGTGCAGTGACACTCACCAGCCGCACCAGCAGGCTGCTCAGGTCCAGGCCATACTTGGCCACCACAGGCCGCAGCACCTCCGTCACAGGCTTGGTGGGCTTGGCCTTGAGTCCCACTGACCGGTTAATAGGAACGAGGTCCAGCCTGGGGGGCATGAAAACATTGACCACACACACATGGCTCTTTGGTAGGAGACTTGTCCCAAGGGCAGACTGCAGCCCCACACTGCACACGGTGCTTCGCGCCTGCTGTGCCGCGCCGTTTGGCCCAGCCTCTGGTCGCTCAGCACCTTTCTCCTGTGAGCAGATGATGGTCTGCAGGGATGTTCCCATATGCACGGCTGGGCTGAGCCACGACGTGGACCTCGTCCTTCACAGGCAGGAAGAGCCCTGCAGGGCGGCCCGACCCCCCACATGGGGTGCCCAGCACCTGCCTCCCTCCCTGCTGTGGGACAGGAAGGAAGAGTGCCCCTCTAGCTCATGGGCTCGCGGGAGCTGCCGCATGTCTGCCATCCCCCAGCCCCAGTGTCCTGTTGCCAAGCTCCTGACAGGGGTGTTGGGACGCCTGCCACCTACTCTGTAAGGGAGAGAACAGCAGGGCTGCCGGGAGCAGAGTGCAGAGGCTCTGGGAGGCTCTTGGAAACCTTACACAAATGGAGACTGCATTTTTCTCTTACCGAAACAAAGCACGCTTTTCTAGGCGCAGATCCCTTGACTCCAAGATGCTGCTGTCCTGATGCAGCACGAGAGGCTTCGGAACAAAAAGACTGGAATTAAAGCAGGAACAAGCAAGCACCCTCGGAGTGCAGAGCAATGTGCAGGGTGCGCAGAGCCATGAGGAACAGAAGAGACAGCTGTGGCTCTCTCAACACCAGCCTGGTGTTAGCATGCAAACTGCTGCCAACAGCACAGGTGTGACTAGAGGGCCCGCCCCCAACACAGTGCTCACGTGGGGAGCACAGGACGGCGTGCTGAGGCCAACAATGCCGTGGGGAGCAGCCTCAGACAGGGGCCCAGAGACCTGTGTGAGCCCGTACCTTGTCCCCGCCCACCAGGAAGAGGTCCACAGCAGCCCCATTGATGCCGTGTCGCTCGCAGAGTCCCGACAGGATCTCCTTGATGGAGAAGCCCGGCTTGACGGCCACCACACAGGACGTCCCATCCGGGAGATGGATGCAGCAGTGCTTTGCAGTCTTGTCCCTGTCAGGCACCAAGGTTCTGCAGGCCTCCGGCTGGGGAGCAGGGAGGTAAGCAGCTGTGCAGCAGCAGCATTATGGGGGTGCCAGGCCCTCCTGGAGAAGATCCGGCCAGCCCTAGCTACACGAACTCAGGAAAACCCACACCCCTCTCACCACCCCCATGTAGCCCCTCACGTGCTCGACCTCAGGGTCTGTCTACACAGTACTATTAGCACGAACAGTCCACCCCATCATTTTCTGTTACCACGGGAACAGCGATCACCTCTCTTGTAACTGCGGGCGCTGTTCAATCTCTTAATCTAAGCACAGCTACCGTCCTGCTCGGATGGCCCTTCACATGCTGTCTGCATGGTCACACCCTGGCCTCTCCAACCAGAAGCAGTCAGCTACTCAGCGAGGAGGAGCCGCCTGAACATAGTACGTGGTCCTCCTGAGTCTCGGGGCTACACTATCACGTCCTGGTGGAAGCAGCTCCCACATGTGATTTCTAACTGAGACTCCTTCACCATCATTTCACGACCACTGTCTCTTCCTGATGGTCTGCAAGTCTCACACCCAAGCATCATTTCAGAGAACTAGTCTGCAGGGTGGTGGACTAACGACAAGAGTGGCCTGACTACTTCCTTCCCTGTGTCCACGGTCTCCCCCTTAAGGAGGTGGTGTCCATCCCAGACCTGGGGCCTTGCTGGCAGGGTGAGGTAGGAGGGTTCCTACTGGCTCCTGGGGCCTGGTCCCAGGAGGCCGCATGCTCTGCTGGCCCTCTTGGTCCCTGAGACCAGAGTGGGAGCAGGACCAGCCACCTGCTGGGTGACAACATGTGGTCCAGCCAGCCTCACCGCCCCCATCAACAGCTGGCAAAGGGCCAGACACGGAAGTGAGGGGACCCGGGACAGCCAGGATGGGCAGGACACCAGTGACCCACAGACACCAGTGCAGCAGTATTTGTTGGTTTAAGCCACAGAGTTGCGGGGGTGGGGAGGGCATTTTAGCCAGCAACAGCTAACTGGTACATGGTGAATCCTTACAGCTTTAAGTGCTGTTTGGTGGAAGTGAAGAAGAAATAACATTCTACGTTAATTGCTGCTGGACAGTTTCACATAACTAAGATGTGGGCAGCCGATACAGTCTTCCATGATCCATATCAGACCACAGTCAACACACGAGCAGGCCCTCCCCCAGCCTGCCTGGAAATGGGGGCCAGAACCAGCAGTCAGCCAGCAATGGCAGGGTGTCGGGGAGACGGGGCGAGGCAGGACACAGGGCTCATGCCCTGGCTCCCAGCTGGGCTGGGGGTCGGGGGAGCAGCAGATGCACAAATGCGAGATCGCTGGATCAGGGGGTGCTCACATGGCACGGCAAAGACGGCACTGGATTTGGAGCGTTTGGTTTGCTCTTAGGGCGAGTTCAAAAAATGCTCACTAAATTAAAACAAAGGGATTAAGAAATAAATCCGGAGATATTTCCAGTACTCAAGGAGCACACCTCTCCCATATGTGAAATACTTTCTCATGCTGTCTCAGCAACCCTGGGCTGGGGTACGACGAGGCTGGGGCCCTTGCTGTCCCGGGCCTCGTACCCCATGTTTACAAAGTGAATTTTGGGCTTTGTAAACATGGGTTTCTCATAAGAGACAGGTTGGTTCTTCCCTGTGACCTCTGGGACCAGGGAAGGGGGGCTACTCACCAGGTCTAGGCTCCCTGCAGAGGACACGGAGCCCTGGGACTCCCGGCGGCACAGGCCTCCGTTGGCGTGAAGGGAGTCTTGATGGGAAACACAGGAACTCAGGTGAATTGGAAGCAGCAGCTTCAATTTTCCTCACTTAGTACAGAAATCCCATCTGTGTGGCCACAACTCCTCGCCCCCACCCCTTTTAGGCTGAACAGACAGACATGAAGGACAGAAGACAGACATCCAAAAGCCCTTGCCAGGCACCACCCGCCTCACCGAGATGGAGCTGCGTCTTCCTAAGCGCAAATGCCAAGGTCAGGGTTAGCCGGCCCTGCCCACCGCTGAGCAGCTCCTCTCCACTCGGTCACCGCCACAGCCCAGCTCCTAAGCTGTCCCGACAGACAGCGCCAGCGTGCTCTCACGACACAGCATCGACAGACAGCGCCAGTGTGCTCTCACGACACAGCATCGACAGACACAGGCCCCAGGCCAGCCTGCCCCTCCCTCATTCAATCCAGAATTTTTATCTCAAGATGCAGTTTCTGGGCCTAAACGAAAACCGTCCCTCTGTGGACAGCAGCAGCGCTCTGGGCCAGTGGCTGCTCTTTGTCGATGACTAATTCACATCTTTTTCCTCTGAAGTGCAAATATGAACCAACAACCAACTGTAAGTTGTTGCTCGTACTAACCATAACCTTAAACTAATCTAAAAATCCAAAAACTCTGACACAGAAAGGGCTTTTTAAAACACAGGCCCTACTCCCCAACCGTGCTGCTGTGTACGGGCTCTGGGGTTGTCATAGCAGTGGGGCATGGCCCACCTTCTCAAAGGGGGAGATTCCTAGACCCCATCTGAGGCCGAACACCTGAATTCTGGAGAGTACCCTACAATCAGGACTCGAAAGCCCTGTCCAGATGTCTCTCTAAAGATCTGCCAGGCATGGGGACCTGCTCGCATGGACAGACTCTAGAGCAGACACTCACCTCAGCTCCCAGGCACTTGGGAGCCCGGCCCCATCTCATGGCACAGAGTCCATCCCCCAGGTGGCCTCGCTTTTCACTAAGGTGAGTTCTACAACTGCCTGCTGCCTTCACTTTGAAAAGATCGCCTCACAGCACAACCAGGAGTATAGGCCACTGTCGCGCTATGGCTAATGTCAGAATCCTGCCGGTGTTGCCAGTTGTCGGGCTCTTCTACCTGCCCGTAATCCTGCCAACTGAGCCAATTGTCGAGCTAGGGCTGGGTCTGGAGCTCACAGACCCCTCAAGCCCATTCACAGACTGGGTCACAAACTCTTTACATGTCAGGCTGGGTCACCAGATCCCTCACATGCAGGTCTGTGAGCTAGGTACCCGGCAAACAGGACCTCGGAAGCCATAGGTTGGAAAGCATGGCTGCTTGTGGCGGTGGCCGCCCAAGGCAGTAATCAGCCAAGGTGGTGGCACTGTGCAGGTGCACTAACTCCACCCACGTACACACCAATTGTTTACTGAACCACCCCCAACTGGACCTGAGGTGAGGGACCTGACTAAACTATCCTATTTTCCCAGCAGCTATCCATGCCAGGCCCACCTTTAAGAACTATAGTATTTAAGAATTATACCTTTTTAAATGCTTGATATGTAAGCTATGGTGTTACATTTTTTAAAAAATGTAAAGGGCACATGTGCATGTACAAGTATCTAGAAAAACATCTAGGGGGAAAAACAAGATGCCATCTAGGTGGACAACTGATAGAACATTTGTATTTTCTTCTTTTTACTTGATTCCAAATTTTCTACCAAAAGCACTTGTCACTTTATAGCAAGCAGCAAGCAGGAGAGGAACATGGATGCTCAGCCCACCACTGCGGGGCCGGGCCTCGGGTGCTGGCTGGAATGCACAGCATGTTCTCTGGGAGACTCAAGCTGTCCTGCTCCACCCTGGCTCACTGGCTCCAAGGGCCAGGCTCCCAGACTTTGTGGCATTTCCTATGCACTCAGGGAACCTCCTCGAGCCGCGTCTCAATGCACGGCCTGCCCACAACCCACTCCCCTGCCACCCAGGACAGCGGCCTGTGACGGAACAGGCTGACCCCACACACCGTTTGGATGGTCGCCGTGTTCCTTCTTCTTCTGGGACCTCCCCGTGCTCCTATTCCTTGACCAAGAGAAAAATGCTCCTTTTCGTTTCTTCTCGCTGTCCTCATCCCCCAGTTCTTCGTTCAGGGACCTTCCTGATTTCGATTTTCCACTTAACTGTCATCAAATGGAAACCTTTGTTAAAACAATTTATTTTACTGTTACATTAAATGTAAATGGAGACTGAACACTGAGCTGTTAACCCGAGTCCTCTGTGGAATGAAAGCGACCCCCCAACAGGTTGAAGGGGCAGCCCTGACAAGGCTACCGAACCACACCAGAGCCTCCACCCTGCGGGCCTTGCATGGGACAGCTGGGATGTCCATGTCCCTGGCACGTCTTCCACCCACTGCTGGGGAAGGAACAGACTGACACGGGCGCGTGCTCTCATTTCCCACAGAGTGGCTTCCATCTGATGGAACGTGGCGCAGCAGTGGCCGAGGCAGGTCTCAGCAGAAGGGTACCTTTTTTGGCGTGGACACGTTGGAGTGGTCTGAGCTGATGCTGTGCTTGGAGGCCGGGCTGCTGGGGACCTGCTGCGGGTCGGGGAGAGCCCGGCCCTCCACTTCCGCCAGGATGCACTCTTGGTACAGCTGGGATTTCAGGAAGCGAGTGTAGCTATCAAACTTCATCAGATTGAAAATCTGGGGAGCAAACGCAACACGACATAGTTACAGAAGCAACTGAAGTGTGCAGCTCTGAAGGCACACGTTTTGTGGAGACCTACAGCATGAACTGGCCTCTTCTACGAGGACACCATTTCAGCCCCTCCTCCACCCACGGGCCCCTAGAGCAGTCTCGCGTTGTCTTCCAGGGTCTCTTCTGCCTGCTTACTGTTCCTCATGACGAGCCAGCCTTGCCCCCACCACTCTTACGGTTCGCAGGCTCCGACAGCGTTCATAAGGGCAGGAAGGGTGATGTGCGGTCCTGGGACCTCTATTGTGTTGTACACAAATGAAACCGAGAGCGACTGGAACTCTCGTGCAAGCAAGGCCTTGAAAATACTCTCCACCAATTTTTTTTTTTTTTGTATGATAAAAGAATATTAAGTAAAAACAATATAATAAAATATTTTATAGGTTGGTCAGTTAATAACAACAATAATAGTAATATATTTTTTCTAAAAAAGATTTTATGGTATTTGTGGTATTTGTCACCTTTTTAAATTTCTTTTTTTTTTTTCCTTTTGTCTTTTTCCGTGTCCGGCAACGGATCGCAACCCTCAGTGTCGCCCCCGTACCGGCCCGGGACCGGCAACCGGATCGCAACCCTCGGTGCTGCTCCCGCGCCTCGCTCAGCCAGTGAGCGGGAACCGGTCTGTATGTGGGATCCGAACCCTCGGCGGGAGCGCCGCCGCACTTCCCAAGCGGCGCACTACAGCAGTGCGCCACCGGGCCGGCCCCTCTCCACCAATTTTATTAAGACATTATTCGTATGGCTTAGCAACAGAATAGTTTATGAAGAGGCCCGCGGAACATGTGCTCTCAATAGGATTAAATCTAGCATACGTTGTTCATCACAGTGATGTCCTAAGATTAAAGGAAGTTACATCACCACTGCTATGGATTGAATCATGTCCCCCACACTGTCATGTATTAAAAAATGAATCCCTACTGTGACAGCATTAAGACAGTGTGTGGAAAGTCCTTCTACAGACACTGAAAGGTGGGGCCTGGAAGAGGTGACTGGATTGACTGTGAGAACCGTGCTGTAGTGGATGGATTGATCCATTTATGGTTTAATGGTGGTCATGTGTGTGATTCTGATGGCTTTAAAAGGAGAGCACATAAGAAGCTCGCTCTCTCTAGCTCCACCATCTGCCACATGACACCCTGCATTGCTGTAGAGTCACCATCACCAAGGCCCTCACCAGATGTGTTCCCTGGACTTTGGACTTCCCAGCCTCTGAAACTGTAAGCAATAAATATTGTTTCTCTACAAATTACCCAGTCTGGGTATTTATGTTATAAGAAACAGAAATGGACTATTACAGTCCCCCATGAGTATGTGACTTTGCACAAATCCATATGTATATATACATGTAAAAGTGTAAACAGCCAGGCCATCTGTAGACAGTATACAGTTGGTCAGGACCTCTTAGATCACGGCTCTCCTGAAATCCTCAAACTCCATCTGTGTCCCACTGAGCCAGAGCCCAGTGGGGCAAGATGGGCTCATGCCCCTCTGCAGCTCTCCTGCACAATGGGTCCCACATCCCGAGCCCTAGCTGGGATTCCCCAAAAGAAGGTGAGGCACACAGAGTTACCTGGAGCTGCTGTTCCTTGAACATGTCAGGGTGAGGGGCGTTGAGAATGTCATCGGCCAGCTGAGCCTGGCTGTCGATGTTGACTGGGGTGGTGGCTTTGCTGCACAGAAATTTACTGAAAATCTCCCGGGCCCTGTAGGAAAGCTGACAGGTAAAAACGTCAGAGCAGGCATGTGGCCTGCAAGCTTCCTCCACACATGCGCTCCTACTTGTTGCATGGCTGTGTTCCCAAGACCAACAGCTCCAGGCACTGGAGACATATTTTCATGGGCCCCAATAAATATTTCTTTCTTGAAGGGCCAGTCCATGGCTCACTCGGGAGAGTGCGGTGCTGGTAACACCAAGGCCACGGGTTCGGATCCTATATAGGAATGGCCAGTTCACTCACTGGGTGAGCGTGGTGCTGACAACACCAAGTCAAGGGTTAAGATCCCCTTACCGGTCATCTTTAAAAAAAAAAAAAAAATTTCTTACTTGAATAAATAAATCAAAGCACAAGCCAGGGTGAAATATCACTGACTCAGCCCCTTCACAAATGTTTTAAGTGGATACTTTAGGTGTTCGGAAGACCCGGGCGCTGCTACCCCAGGAGAGGCACCTGCACATGTGCAGCACTTGTGCATGGTGGTTCACACGCTTGCTCTTAGTAAAGTGGGGCACAAGAAAGCGAAACCTCTGAGCCTAAAGAGCAGATGGGGAAGGCCTCCAGGGTGGGGGTGACCATTCATCTATCCGTGGCCTGGAACCGAGGACCACAGTCCACCTTAGAAAAGAGCAGCTGGGGACCAGGACCAGCCGGGATTCCACGTGTGGCATGGAGGAGGAGCTGCAAAAATTGATTCTAGGGAGACTCTTCTGCTTGGACTTTCTTTTAAGTTCCCCTTTAAGCACACGTTCCTTCCTCTTAATTTCAACATACTGGGTAGCAACACGTCTGCTGATGAATGTTCTGTGGCTAAAGGCATTTACATAGACTATGTTTAGGCAAAATTAAATATCATATATATTTTAAAATGTATTCTGAAAAAGAAATGACTTTTCCCAAATCATGTAAAAATATTTTTACATCAACTTTTCAGACTGTACAAGATGTTAACCACATGCTAAACTAACCGATAATGAAACCATCCTGCTCTTTAACAACCTACACTTCCAAGGCATGAAGAAATTTACCTCTTTTTTGTCATGTGCAGGAACATGATTAAAATATTCACAGGCCTGCCAGAATAAAATGTTTTCTTCACTGAATTCCTTCCTTAGAAAATCCTAGGAAAAACACCATCAATTAACATTGATACAAGGATCAAGAAAAAATAACTTGGTAGTGACTCTGTGTGGCCTGTCCTCTACTTGAGCTCTGATTATTTCTTCATGCCTACTTTTTTCTCGTTTTTACCTTCTGCAGAAACCACAAGGTTACAAGCACCTCTGGATGATTTACCCAAGGGCCTTAAAAGATAAGCTTGAAAGCTGCCCAACACTTTAAGGCCGCTGCTCCGCATTCACAGTTGTCTTCTTAAGAACTAAACATCTTTTTTCAACAGCGGGACTTGGCAGCAAGCACCTGGCTTCTGAGCACTTACAGGAAGCTCCAGTGCTTCTTGTTTTGGAGAGTTCTCAGGCAGACAGCAGGGAGAGCCCCAAGGTCTCTCCCCAGTGGGCTGTGGAGTGCAGGGTGGGGCAGGAAGGTAGGGCTGAGAAGGTGCCCTCCTCCCCCAGGCCCAAGGATTCAGAGCAGGTGCAAGAGGACGAGAGGCCCGCAATGGTTGGCTGAGCCCAGGGGGGCTTGCGGAGCACCACCGCTTGAGGGTGAGCAACGCACCCTGCTCAAGCAGCCTCAGCAACAAGTGCAGACCGCCACCCCCCAGCTGGCCTTGAGGCTCTTTCCCACTCACAGAGAAGTAGCGGACTCCGAGGGGGTCCTGCAGCAGGCGCTCGAAGGACACGGCCCAGCTGGCGACCCTCCGCTCACGCAGGCGCCGGCAGCTCTGCACACTGGGGAGGCTGGCATTGCTGCTCAGGCTGTTGTTGCTCACGCAGTCCTTCAGGTCAGCGCCGGTCAACTCTGCAGGACCAGCACAGAGCGCACCTGCACCCCTGCCCTCCACTCCCACCCAGCTGGCACCCTGTCCGCCCGATGGGAGGCCCCCGGGGCACCCATGCCAAGTTGTTCTCTACAACCTGCTCAGTCAGCACAGGCACCACACGCCTGCAACCTGCTCAGCATGCAGGGGACACAGGGACAGAGCTGTGAGCATGCCAAGCACGGCCTTGTATAGCTCCATACACTCACGCCCACATGCTCATGCATGCACATGCTCTCACACACACTGTTACTCAGGCAGAGACAGGCTGTGGCCACGGAGAAGAACAGGAGAAGCAAGTGGCCTTGAATAGAAGTGCACACACAGGCAGCAAGCACAAAGGACCACGGCTCCAGTGCACGCAGTGCTGGTGGCAGGGCAGGCCGAGCCCTGTGAGCAGAGGCTGCAGACAAGGCACCCTCCTCAACACGGAGCGAGACGTGCACTTTCTGCGTGTGGCTACTTCTCAATACAAAGTGTTCGGGTGCAGTATCCACTTTTGAGGACTGAATCACACGTGTGAGCTCGACAGCTCATTTGTAGGTGATCCCAATGTGCAATTACATCATGACACGTACCCCAGAAGGCTTGCTCCTGAGTTATCTACAAAATGGCACTAAACAGCCATTGATTCCACTATCTTCTAAGTAAGTTCTCAAAGAGAAGGGGAAGTACCCAGGACACCCCTTGTCTCCATGCTGTGAGCAGCACAGTGGGTGTCCCTGTCCCCCAAAGGGCAGCCTAGCCACCGAAGCCTGAGAGGCCGGGACACAGCCAGAGCTACAGTTTGAAGAGCCGTCCTACATGCTGCCACAGTGAGCCACAGCACATCCCACATGGGCACCAGTCACAGATGAGGCAGGACAGGAGCCGCCACTAACTCTGTGCCGTCAGGAGGCTCTGGGCTTTGGGTTTGGTCTGCTACTGCACTCTCTGTGGCAAAGCTGACTAATACAGTCACCTGACAAAATGTTTTCAGCAGCCTAATGAAAAATCATCTCAAATCTTCCTGTTTTGCCCCTCATCTGTTCCGAGCACTAAATGGCCTTGACTCATGGCACAGTGCACAGGACAAGCCATCTGGGCTGGCCATGCTGCAAAGTCAGGGTCATAGGACTAATCTCAGTGGACTAGTTAACTGGCTCCAGCTCTGGGCCAACCATTAAAATGTGTCTTATTAGCTACAAAGGACCAGTGGTGGGAGGAGACTGATCAGGGGGTCAGTGAAGCACATCAATCCCTCTAGGGACAGAGGTGATGCTAAATCTTCCAGAATAAGCCCAGGCCATAGACACTCACTGAGAGCAGCGGGCAGAGGCTGGCCGACATCCTCCATGCCTGCAACCCAGGCCGGAGCCCGAAGGGCTTCCAAGGAGGTCCCAGTGCTGACACCACTCATCCAGAGAAGAGTGGACCTCCCAGAGAGAAGAGAAGACCTCCAGGAGAGAAGAGCAGACTTCCACAGGCCATGAGAAAACTTTTGCACCATGTGGCAACCAGAGGCCGCACTCAGCAGGAATCACTCAAAGCTCAAAAAACATTTAGATTAAAAAAGAAAGGAAAAAGTCAAAGAGCAATCAAACAATTTAAAGTACTATAGAAAAAATTAAAATAAGACTCAAAGGAAGTGATACAACAGAACCAGGAAAGCACAACTTTCCTTTTCCTTTTGGATCCACCGTACGGTACTTGCTCTTTCTGAGATAAAGCACTGGCGCAGCGTTGGCCACCAGCTCTCGCTGAGGCCCAGGGGAGGCTGCGGGGGCAGGGGGATGTCACACAGGAGCTGGCTGAACTCGCCACTAGCAAGCACAGGGCACACGGCCACTGTCAGGGAGCCACTCGGAGCCAGAATGAGAGGCTATGAAGCTTCCACTGAACTCAGCAATTCTGCCATGTGACGGAACCATCTGGAAATGCCTAGCTGAAAGAATCACAACATACAAGACTTCCCCATGTGGAAAGTGCCCCATTTCACAAGTGTGCAGGTGGAAACACACTCTCACATGTGTTCGCTTGCTCGATCCTGCTCCTGCTGGCTCTGGGGCTGGGTTCCAGGGAGGGGCAGCTCTTTATGTGTGACATGTGTCCAGTAACTGAGCACTTAGGGGCAGAACATCACAGATATTAATTCCCCTAAATTAACATATAATCCCTATATGCTTTCCAACAGACGTTCTGTTAGGACTGGACTAGCTGAGTGTGAAAGTCCACGTGGAAGAGCAAACACGAAATAACAGAAAAACAAAACACAGAGAGCACCAAGGCAGGGCCAGTTCGACCCGACATCCCAGCATGTGACAACCCACAGTCCTCACGGTGGGATGGCAGAGCTGTGCAGAAACAGACCCCAAAATGTTTACTTCATGATTAAGAGAGTAGGGGGCAGGGGAAGATTACATCTAAAAAATAATCAAGTTGGACCCCTCCTTTCCAACACATACTGAAATAAATCACACTTGGATCAAAGATTTAAATGTAAAAAATGAAATTGGAGAAATGCTGGAAGAAAATGCAGGATAATGTCTCGAGGTATCTGAGTGCGAAAAGCTTCAGGAAGACACAAGCCGAGAGCCAGAAGTACAACATGGATACGGCAGGCAGCACAGAGATTTAAATCTATTAAAAGCACCACATGCCAAGTCCAAAGACAAGGAACTGGGGAGAGTACACCTAACGCTTCACACAGACCAAGGGCTGGTCTTCTTTCTACGTAAGAGCACTACACATCGGTGTAAAAGCAGTCAGTAACGCAAGCAGAGGCTGTGAGCCGTCAGCGAGGAGGAGGCCTGGATGGAGAAGAATGTTCAGCCTCCCCTACAGTCAGCTAAAGCGAATTTAAGCTAGGGGCCGGCCGTTTAGCCCGATGGTTAGAGCACGGTGTTGTAACACCAAGGTCAAGGGTCTGGACCCCCGTACTGGCCAGCCGCCAGGAAAAAAAAAGCTGCAAACTGTCCTGTTGCATCTAAGTGGCTGAGATCACGTCCCTGACAGGCGGCAACAGTTATTCCACCTGACTCCTGCCCATAGGAAACCCACACAGGACTAGAGGCCAGCTGGCGTCCAGGCTCTGCTGGGCTCCTTGAGTGCCAGGCTGGGGGGAGGTGACTGGAACAAAAAAGCAAGGGCGGTGGGGGGACAGAATTCACACACTTTCTGGGTGTGGCCTCCGGGGACTCCGGTTTCCCCAAGTGAGGGTAACGGTATCTCCAACCTTCCTGCACTTTATGTTGATAACTGAAGGTGATGCTTACAAAACAAAAGAATGTTTTTCAAATGCCCTATAAAATATGAGCACTACAACACTGCTGCTGCAGCCTCTTCTCAGGATGAGCTGACGTTAGCCAAGTGCAGGGAGCAGGGAAGTGCCTTCTGCAACAGGACGAGCACACGCAAGGGGCCTGTGGCAGCAGATGCACAGCACACAGCTAGCCAACACACAGGAGAGCTGCAGGGCCACAGGCACCCGAGCAGTGTGGCTTTTACCCCTGGGGCAGTGACGAGCACAGGAAAGGTGAGAAGGGCCTTGAGTTCCCCACAGGACCCTCTGGCTGCCACTGGGGACCCAGCTGAGGGGTGCAGGGGCCTGGGTGTGTGGGCAGGGCAGGTGGCACGGGGGCTGACCCACTGCAAGGTATAGACAGCACAGCTGCCCCTACCCAGTGTGCTGAGGTTTGTCGTTTCTCAAGTAAAAGGTGTCTGGATTCCAACAACATTAGTACAGATGGTCCCCAACTTACAATGGTTCAGCTTACAACTTCTTGACTTGCGCTGCGTTTATCAGGACACGAGCCCACCATAAGTCGAGGCGGCTCCGTACAGTGATGTGAACCCCCTGCCTCCCTTGCTGCCAGGGCACGCGGGCTGTGGGGAGGAGAGCAGGGCTTCCCCACTGTGCAGCTGCAAATTCACCAGGCCGGCCTCCCGCCCCACAGCCCCGCTCAACTACGGGCCAGCTGTGCATAGGGCTGTGCTCGCTGCTCCCCCAGCGCTGGCTGCAGGAGGTGCCATGCATTTGTAGAATAAATGAATGAATGCCGACTGAACATAAATTTCAAGTGAAAGATGATCCGTATGTTGACTAAACTCATTTTTATAAGGTTTGCCAAAAACTAAATATTTTATAAGACTCAAAAATCAACAACTGACACTTTAAAGGTCTAATCAAAAAAGAAACTTTAATCTTTTAAAGAAAGCAAATGACTGACCGGCCCGGCGCATTAGGCTCTTGTGACCACCAAGTGTCCTCACGCTGGCCTCTGAGTGTATTCTTAGGTGCATGTCAGCTCTGCCCTGGCTCTTGCAGACATGGACGTTGTGTACAGACAGATCACACCAGTACCCGAGCAGGCGCAGCCTCCAGTGCTGAGGAGAACTGCAGAGAGCAGACACAGGGAGGGGCCGGAGGGGCGCAGGGGCTGCGTGCCCACCAGACCCTCTCTTGGGTCTAGCCCAGGCTCAGGGACCCGCTCAGGTGGGACCCTCAGGAAATGAAGAGACAAGTCACTCTGGCTGCAAATAAACCACATCCATGGAAGGGCTGGGGCCTGCTCTTGCCTGACAGCACACCAGCACTGCCGGGGTGAGCACAGCACCCTCACACAACCCCATCTATCTCCTTCAGACGACGATGCAAGGACCAGATGACTCCCCAGTAACTCCTTCCTGACAGACCACAACCAGGATGTGGGTCTTGACTCAAGCACTAGGGACTTAGAGTGAAGGACGAGGACACAGGAGGTGAAGGAGACAGTAAAAAGATGCTCTGGGTGACTGTCTGCCTGAGGATGGGGAGGAGCATCATGACCAGGCCCCCCAGCTCCCCAAGGGCACAGGCGGAACATGCAGGCGCACATGCCTTCCTATCTGATTCCAGCCATTTCCCTTATGACAGTCAAATCTCTAGGAACACACACGTTCTTCAAAGTGGGAAAATTAGAGACAGTCGTTAGCTACATAAAAAATGTCAATACAGAATTCC